AAAGTGAGACACTTTAAAGCTATATACCATTTTGTAAACCTGATTTCATAAACATAGGGCAGGAAGTCAGCTGGGGTCATAGGATCCCAGCAAGATAAGCATCTAATCTGCTCTTGAAGGTATTCAGTGTAGGTGCTTGAACCACCTCCGATGGCAGGCTGTTCCAGACCTTGGGGGCTCGGACAGTAAAGAAATTCTTTCTTATGTCCAGCCTGAAATGGTCTTGTAGTAGTTTATGACTGTTTGACCTCATCATCCCTTGGGGCGCTCTGGTGAACAAACGTTCCCCCAGGTACTGGTGGTCACCCCTGATAAACTTATAGGTGGCCATCAGATCACCCCTGAGCCTGTGTTTTTGCAGGCTAAAGAGCCCCATGGCTCTCAGCCTGTTGTCGTAAGGTCTGTTTTCCTGACCTCTGATCATGCACGTGGCTCTTCACTGGACACTCTCAAGCTTCTCCACATCCTTTTTTAATTGTGGAGCCCAAAACTGGATGCTGTACACCAGCTGCGGTCTCACCAAGGCCGAGTACAACGGGAGAATGACATCCTGGGATATTTAAGTGATAGGATGCTCCAACACAAACTAATGTAACCCAGAAATATTGTTGAAGACCTACTAAAGCATCGCTTCTCTGTCCCAGTGGCTTCACACACATCTCTTTAAATTCATGGTGTTGTGCTCTTGTACATATTGCAGTGCATAAGATTGAGTTTGTATGTGGCAGTTGCCCGAACACATGTTGTGTGGGTGTAGTTTCTGCCAATAAAAAGTAAGACAGGAACAGTATTTAGAATAGACTGATTAATCGGATGCATCTGTTGTAATATGTAAAGTTCTTTGGCATTCTGATTGGTACATCAGCTGTATTGATAGAGTTCCCACCCCACTGCTTCAGAGCCACTTGTCCTAACAGTGTTTTAATGCATATGTAATATTGAACATCACATTGTTTATAGGCATATTGACATGTAACTGATTTTCTCCCCTTTCCCCCAGTATGTCAGTCTAGGTGTAATGGTATGTATAGCATTTTAACAAAGTGCCCAATCATCAGCCTACCCTTATCATTCCTTAAAGGGGAAAAAAGATGCATTTCACAAGTTAATTTTTACAGTATCCAAAAGAATGCTAGATTATTTTACCGTGTCCTAAACTGGTGAAGAAAATTTACAGAGCAAGTACAGACAAGTTTCCTGCTTCAAAAAGATTCCCAACAAAATGTTAACTATGCTAAAAGTGATGGCAACTAACCAAAGGTGGGAAGGATTATTTTAACAGTTAAACTCTGATACAACTCCAAATAATTCTTCTATATTGATACCTGGGATACAGTGTCTGTTAGAGAGGTGTCATCAGTTGTGTAATATGATAAAATCAAGACACTGGCTAGTCCATCAGATGGGTTTATTGCCCAGCACCACTGTACCTCTGAATCCCTTGATACTTCTTGCTTTCAGTCGCTATATCATGTCCCTGTGATGGTCAGCTGGCCAGGTGGGTGAGAAACTTTAACAAATTTGAATTATTCCAGCCTATGCTGTTATTACTGTGGCCACCTTTAGGTTCTTAATTCTTGGGGACAGTGAAGTCTTGTCTGTGCCACTTCAACTCCAGGTACTGGCAAGGAGAGGGCTGAGCATACCCCACCCACTCAGGACCCATTCATCAAATCCAATGATGCACTTGGCCTAGAGGTTCTCCAGTGAGGCTGCTAAAGGCTCATCCCTAGCACCTGCTCTTGAGCCCTCTATTTTCAGTGGGCCTGAAAGCAGTACTGGAATAACTTCACTGGTAACCTTTCAGGCCTGGAATATGCCTCTTAACAGGGGTGGACCAGGTTCAACCAACCCCATCCAACTAGGGATACTGTGCTGAAATGTATAGACATACCATTTTTATCATTCATAAATAAAAATTGAAACCTATATTGATAACAAACTTATCACCCATTCAGTGCACCTGCTACTAAGAGGAAAAATTATGGCATTTAGTGTTTTGCATTGCTCCTAGATTTGGGCTTTGCAGACTAAGTTTGGGAAGGGACTCTGCATCCTAAATAAAAGATCTTTGCAAGCACAGGTAGAAGGAATAAGCACCCTTAGCAACTGTTGTTGCTGCCTGAGAATCCAGAAGCAGCAGAAAATCAACCATAAGATTTAAACAGCACTTAAATCCAAAAGTGAAGCTGTGCTCTGCATCTCTTCTGGATTCCAGAATTGTTATTGTTTCTCTCTCATTTATAAAAATCATGGAAAGATGCCCCTCAATTTTATTCCAGTTCATTTTCAATCAGCTCCTGATTCTTTGTTCCAGAAGCGCAAACATTTCGCATCCAGAGTCTCACAGCTGACATCTCTCTGGACCCAGTCTTCCCTGATTAGTATGTATTTGTTTAGCAGTAGCAGCATGCTTGGCACTTTACAGAAACAATGCCAGTGCCTGCCCTAGAGTGGTTATTATTATCAGCTTTTCCAGCTGCTGTGTCCCTGTGGTGCTCAGTTGCTTTTTCATCCAGGAGAGAATTTTTAAGAATTCCAAATTATTCTTACTTCTGCATATTCTAGATATCCTGTACCCTTTAAACCTGTTCCTATTCTATCTCTTGGTCATCTGAGTGGACATAGGTGACAAAGTGGGATTCTTTTCCACCTCTTTCAAATCCCTGGAGTTCCATTAATGCATCTTGTTTTATAAGATGCCGTTATCTTACCCTTAAAATTAAGTTACAAAATGAGGTGGAAAAGAACCCGCCTTCCTTTTACATTAACAGTTCTCTCAGAGACTCAAGTATATGAAAAAGATTGCACTTAGGTGCCCATAGCCACTTACATACCTACCATATTTACTTTAAGCCAAGACAGCCTTGAACCTAAGACGCTCCCCGCTATAATTAGAATCTATTCATGGGAAATTTATAAATTTGTTAGAATGTTCCACGTATAGAATCTAATTATTGGAGAGTTGTCTTACATTCATCCCAACCCCCACAGATGCAATGGAGAAGACAGCAATGGGGGGCAAGCAGTAGAGGAACAGGCAGTAGGGGGTGTCAAGCAGTCCAACCCCTGCCACTTGCCCCCTGCTAATTGCTATAGGTACCTACAGACTTAGCACTGTAATTACAGCACGTCAGAGCGGACTTGATTAATTGTGTCCCTGTTGACTCTGCTCCTCCACAACCTCTTCCCTCCTTGCCCCCCACACCTTTCCACCATCACTTACGCTTCCCCTGGCCCTGTTTCAGCCTGAGCCATGAAGCATGTGCTTGCTTTGGCCCCAGCCCAGTAGCAGTAGCAGCATAGCATTCTCGTGCCCCCTCCAAGGTAGTGCCTGGATCTGGAACCCCAGTTGCTTGTGCTAGTTATGCTACAGATAGTGCGTTGGACTGATAGGTTCTCCAACCCATATTCATATATGCAAGATGAAGCCTTTGTGGACAGTCAACATTTACAGCTGGCACTTAAGACATTCATTTTGAACTAGAGTACATATAACAATAGATTTTGTTTCAAGTAAGTTAACTTTTAATGTTAAAATCAATGATAGCACATAAAGCTTCTGATTGAGACTGGTACATAATCTTCTGAACTGTTGTTTCTCAGGTTTTGCTCGAAATCTTTCCGAAGGAAGCAACGCTAACTACACTGAGTATGTGGCCACCCGATGGTACCGCTCACCTGAACTCCTGCTGGGGTAAGTATCCTTCCTTAGAAGTAGCAGCCATGACGTCTAAGTCTTGTATCATCCACTGCTCTTTCTCACTTATATCATTAATTATTTTGGCTTCAGTTTCTAGCAAGGTGACTTGACTTTATGATAAGATAGGATTTTGTACAAATCTTAGTTCAGGTTTTTATTTTAGTAATACTTTAATACTGTTTCTGTTTGTGAAAGGTGCTCTGTTCTTGAAACCTGAAATGTTCTTATAGCTGCCAAATGAATGTTGTGTAGACAGGAGCAGGTGCAGTCTTTTCCATGCTTCCTTGGATGGGACCGTGCTGCACTGAGTTAAGAATATAATTCAGTTTCTATTCCAAATTATTCTTTGACACTGCTATTGAGATAGCTGAAAAGCAAGGTGCTTGTTTTGATGCCAGGTTTCTTTCATTGGTTACAAAGAACTCGGGGAACAAGGTCATCAACTTCTTTCCCAAAAGACAACGAGTAGCCACACTAACTTTGCAAGTAATAGTCATTTGTCTGACCTTGTGTAAATTACTTAATTTTAAACGTCTGTTAAAGAAGGATAATGGCATTTCCTTACCTCATGTGGAGTAATTAAAGGGGGTGAGTTATGTAGGAACTCCAGCTAAAAATAATAAAGAAAAAAAACACTGATGCCTCTGTTACAGTCTTTTCTTTATCACCAGGTTCTGAAATTTTTTCTGTATTCCACACCAGCCAAATACTTCAGTGTGATCTAATTATGATTTGTCAGTGGCTATTAAGCAAAATGAGATTTACAGGTGTTCACTGCCTCTAAGAAACAAGTTTATCTCTTTGGAGTCACTGATTAAAACGGGAAGGTACAGAGTGGGAATTTATTGTATATGCTAAAACTGAAGCAAGTTGTCAATATATTCTTTTTTTAAAATGTATTCCACAGTCTCCAGAGCTGTGCTGACATTGTTAGTAACATTGATGCACAACAATATTTGGGTCTAAAAATTGTTTCATTCATAATGTGTTGAATATCCCAATAAACAAAATGGGTAGTCTTTATCAGTAAATTGTTTATTATCAAGCTGCCAAGAAAGTTCCACACTTTATTAAGTGTTTCAAGAACAAAAAGTGTCAGCAGTGGCCTTAGTTATAGGATATAGTTTTATTTATTAATTTAAGTCTTGTGAGTTACGAGACTCAGAAAGGAATGCCGTAATGAAGTGTAACTTTTGACACTAATGTACTTTTCACTGTTAATATAATCTGTCCTTTCATGTTCAATAGTGAATCAGTGATGCACATTATAGTCATAAATTTGGCAGATTAGTTTATGATACAGGTATCTATATTTAGTGTATATGATATTGAAGTGCTTTTAGCTACTGCTGATGCATTATTCTCAAGCCAGTATCTCTCTGCAGCGATATTCTCCTTCCTACATCTTGATAAACAAATGAATTTTCTTCCCAGAAATATTAAATATGTTACCTTACAAATATTAAATTTGTTTTTAACTTTTAAAAACTGTACAATAAGAACATTCCTGGGGCAGGGGAGGGGGTCTTTGTTCTTCATTTACTTTGAATAAAGAAGTTCTTGAGGGCAAGAAAACATATCTGCTCAATTATTCATAAAGTACCCAAAATCTACTCACTTTGGAAAGTCTAGGTAACTTCTGGTGCTCTACATTGTATTCTTTTGTAACTAAAAAATACTGATAAATACTACTAGGTTTTAAAACATCAACATACAGTCTTGAGAGCCTAAGCAAATAAATGTCTGAAAGCAGTTTTGTGTTTTGTGCAGCAGTGGAGCATAAAGCTTCCAATTAGGCATGCAGATTTATTTATCATCTAGGAATTGTTTCTCTTGTTCGAGCTCGCCATTCTTACCTTGTTTTACTTATCCTGTAGTTTGAGATGACAGGACTAGATCTGTCAGTCAGTAGAAAAGGGTTTGACCTGCCCTTCTGAAAAATCATAGAATCATATAGAGAAGCAAGGCTGGGAGGGACCTCCAGAGGTCATCTAGTCCAACCCACTGTCTGAGGCAGGATCACCCCTATCTAAACCATCTTATACAAAAACAGGCAGTTTCCAGGCCTCCTGACTACGGAGTATAGAGAGATCCTACTCAACTAATCTAGCTCCAAAATGTTTCTTTCTTTTGTTCCTTTATTTTCAAGCAAGATTAACTTTAAAAAAAGAGGAATAATAGGGGAAAAGTTGCCTGTTTTGCTTATTTGTCCTGTGCTCTTGCTGGGCAAGGAGTTGTGCAGTTCTGTTCCCAGTAATTGCTCTGCCCTGGAAGTTTCAGCTCCCAGGTACAGATACCATGTCTGCCATCGTGTCCCACCCCCCAACCTGTCCCTAGAGGTGCAAGTAGCAGCAGGTTCTTGGATTTGAAGCCTGAACTCTTGGTAAGGTGAAGATTATAGCAGGGAACAGAAGCACTCATGCTAGCTCTCCCTTGGCCCTCACCCTGTTCTCAGTCTACATAGTACTGCAGAACAAGTGACATTAAACAACGCCTGCAGCAGGTTCCCTGTGCCAGCTCAGCAAGATGAAACAGTGCCCCAAGTAGCTTCAGTAGTTCCACAAATCACATTTCCGGTACCAGAGACAAGGCATCGCAGAACTGCCCTTCAGGAGCTTAAGTATGATCCGCCTTGCTGTTCTAGGGCCACTGACAACATTCTTCTTTTCACTTTGGTGTTTCTGCTCCCAGTCTTTGAAAGCACAGCAGTGCTCATGGCAGTGTTCAGGTAAGCAAGAAGTCTGTGCACTTTTGTCTTCCTTTTTCAGCTTTTCTAGCTGCTTCCTACCCTTGAAGCAGACTTTTCAATGGATCTGTTCCTAAGCCTGATTTCTTTTTGGCCTCTCTTCCCTTATTCTTCCCAGGTGAAATAAGGCATGCTCAGCCCAGCCTAACAAGTGCAGATTCTTGGAACCGAGCTGTTTCTGGGAGTATATCCCTCTCCACACAAACTACAAGAGAGGTGTGGATCTGTATCAGTAACTGATACAGAGCAACTTGGAGGAAGAAAGCAGCTTTGCTCTGCCATGTGAAAGAACTCATGTTCTCCCAAGTTAAGGATAAACATCAATATAAAAAAAGGAAAAAAGTAACCAGATTTAGGACAGAATATGTGAGGGCCCTCAACTGTTAGGTTATGTCTAAGAATGTTAATGAGAGTTAAGCTGCAACCACCCTACACTGAATATGTTCAAGCTCATAAACTAGGCAGGGTAGGCAGCTCAGGTGCACATCTTCCTGGTCCTGGGCGCGTGCCACCTGGAGAGCATGAGCATAGAGCAGGTGTGAGTGGGCAGAGCTTATCACTTGGTGATGCTCCTGGGCTTGTACTTTAAGGCTCTTATAGATATAGCCTTAGTGACTTCAATTCAGAGAAAGTCAAGCCAGGCAAGTTTAACATTACCTTCAAACCAGATTGTGAGCTGATAGATTCCAGCTCTGTAAAGGAAGAGAGCTGAGCAAAGCAGTTCTCCTCGATTCAGCACTTATATCCACTCAGATCTCAGAAAGGAATCCTCTTATCATTCTGTTCCAAATCTAGCTGTCCAAAAGAGAGCTTCTGGCACATGTTCAATGTTCACAAAGCCATTAAAATCCACCCAGTAAAATTTTAATATCCAGTTAATGAGATGCCTTGGTCTGTCCCACCAGCTGTTTAAAAATTAAAAAATAAAGCATCAGTTCCTTCATGTATTGGAATAAAAACAATACACAAGAGCAGAACCTTAGCAGGAAGACCAAAAGCCATCAAACAAGTCCATCTTCTACTTTCAGAGCTGAAAACTTCCTGTCTTCTGAAGAGACTTGCAAAGCAGCAACCTGGTTGTCCATTTTTGTGTTCACTGGAGTGTACACATCAGACATATGGGTATTTCTGGATGCAACCTCCAGTAGGGGAGCACTGCATATTGTGAAAGGTGTATATTGTGAAACCCCTAGGTTTTTTCTCTGTATGTTTTTCTACTTGTAAATACTTATTGGAGTGGTGCAGTCACCTACCCTGGAGGTTTTCAAGAGGAGTCTAAACAGTCACCTCGTTGGGGTTGTCTTCTTTCCTAGAGTCGGGGGGCTGGACCCGATGATTTGCAAGGTCCCTTCCAGCCCCTTACAATCTATGAATCTATGACTTCACTTGAGATCCACTACTCTTAAAATTCCACTATGTAAATGTTGAATGCAAAGAGAGGGTGAAATTTGATGTCTGATTATTTCTGTCATCTATGATTCACCATTCTGACTGAATTGTTAAGTGAAACAAAGGGGGAAAAATGTAATTCAGTAATAATATATTCATCAATGCTCTGTAGTTTGGCTAAAAATGGGGGAAATTGGCATTTAATATGGTCTTAAATATTAGTATATTATCTATTTCTTCCCTTTGGAAGCATTATTATGCTTTTTTAACCTGCATGGTCATGCTGTTTTAACTTGCAATACGGAAGTAAAACTAACAGGAAGCCTAGATGCCTGAAGATTCTTCTCTAGGTTCACATATTTTTTTCCTACTATCAGCAAGCATAGTTAATACAGAGGAATGTTTTTTTAATTAATTCAGATAATCAGGTTGTCAAGAATATATGTTTGTCAGTGAGAATATACTGTGTTTGCTTTACAGAGCCCCTTATGGAAAGGCTGTGGATATGTGGTCTGTAGGCTGCATTCTTGGGGAGCTTAGTGATGGGCAGCCATTATTTCCTGGAGAAAGTGAAATCGACCAGCTCTTTACAATACAGAAGGTGCTAGGACCACTTCCATCAGAGCAGATGAAGCTTTTCTACAGCAATCCCCGTTTTCATGGGCTTCGGGTAAGGGATATAGGCCTAAAGCCTTTTGTTATTTTTTTCAATTTCTTCTGCTGAAGTGATATTTAATCCATTGTCCTTCAGAAAATATATATGCTAGATCCTTTTTCCTGAGATTCTTTGTGTTGCCTAATTTAATGTAAGTTTGCCTGTCTAAAAAGATAAAGGACAGATTTAGACTGTAAATACATTGTTTGCTTTATAAATTTAATATTTTTCACAACTTTGCTTTCACATGAAAGCATTTTGGTGAGTTAAAATGGCCTTTCTAAGCATTTCTTAGACTGGAGCTTATATTTTCTCCATCTGAGACACTAAATGTTTATGGCAGGATCAGGAAAGAGTATTACATCTGATAATTGTTGTGTCATTGCCAGAAATGTTATCTGTGCCTTCCTTGCCACTTAGTTTTGGTTCTCCTGACAGCTGCTGCCATTTGGTCAATTGCTACTACTCAGAATAATCCAGTGATAAATTTCTGAACTTGTTAAATTGGAGAAATGGCCAAAGTTAAAATTCACTAAAAATGTCCATAGTTTTAAAAGGAAAAGATCAAATGCTCAAATATGTAATGGGGAAAAGCTGGTAAAGCAGCAGTACTGCAGAAAAAGTGTTTGGTAGTTGAAATGGATCACAAAACAAGAGTGAGTCAGCAGAGCAATGCTGTTGGAGAAGAGGCATTTGTGAGGCCTCAGCTGGAGTTCCATGTTGAGTTTTAGACTTTTATAAAGATGTATAAGTAAAAGAGAGTCCAGAGAATGGCAACAAGAAAACATGATGTATTAGGAAAAGTTGAAGGACATCCCAAGCCTCAGGGCTTATGCAAGTTGCCAGGCAGGTTCAGAAAGAATTTTTTTTCCCCACATGAATGCTGCTGGTTTCTTGTGGTCAATTTTGCCATCTTCTGAGGCACTGACCATAGGTACAGCTGTTTTTTAAGCTTGTTTTTGTTTTTTCTGACTGGCATGTGCTGATGCTACTGCTAGTACTAAAAAACGCAGAGACTCCTGACTAGAGTGTCTAGCTCTTATGCCCAGGGTTGCACCAGTCACAAAATTAGTAACCAAGAAGGAGTTTTTCCACTAGCTCCAATTGGTATGAGTTGTGTATGTGTGTAGGAGGAAGGGAAGGGCATGCTCCCATTGCTTCGGGCACGGTCTTTTCTAAGGATCTGCTGAGCACATTTTACCAAACTACTTCACTGTTTTTGCATTGGCAAGGTATTAGGAGTGCCCTCATTGCCCCTGCTTCTACCTCTGACATTTTATGGGGAGTTTGCGAGGTTCAGAGTTTGTTCATTATATTGTAGGTGAGGACTTGAAGTGGCAGTTTTGGGAATCCCTTTGATTAATGAGTGCCTGTTAATGCAAGAGGCTAACACAGCTTCTGAGAGAGGCTGCTTCCAGTCCTGTGTTCCTGTGGGTTTTAGCTTAGAAAAGAGAAAATCTGGGGGGGAAGGTGGGAGAAGGAGGCATCACATACATTAGAGGTTTTTTGTATGTGAAGCCTTCACATACATCAGAGGTTTTTGTAAAATTGAGGCAATTAATTTTTCTTTATGTTCATCAGGGGGAGGACCAGCAATGGTTGGCTTAAATTGTCACAAGAGATTTCAGTTAGAATTTCTAACATAATGATATTTAAGGACTGGAACAGATTTATTAATAGAATTCATTGAATTCCTGACATTAGCTTTTAAGAACAAATTAGACAAACATCTGTCAGGGGTAGACACTTGGTACTGTCACTGGAGAGCACAATAACCTTTGAGGTCTCTTCAAACCATATGTTTCTGTGATTTCTAGTCTAAAGCATTGCATAGCTAAACAAAAATTTTCCACAGAATAAATGACTATCCTTTGAGCATTTCCTTCACCTCAGTTACATCTATCCAACCTAAATTGAAATTATGATATTAAATTATCCATTGAAAAATTACACAAGAAAGAGCAGGTTCAGCTCTCCTATATAAGAGATGGCTCACGTCTCACTCTAACCATATGGATAATGCATGATTTTTCAAATGTTTCACCTTCCTTTTAAATGGACTGGAACAGTTGCATATAGAATTAATTTTATCCTACACTACCAAGCTGTTTCAAGAAAGTGAAGTTCTCCTGAGTGTATCTTGAGGGTTCAGGCGGACAGGATTTATTAGGCTGAGGAAGCATCTGCAGTTGGCATGTGCTGTTCCTGGATAGAAGGAATAGTAAAGAAGCCAGAGGCTGGTATGCAATTCAGGCAAGAAAACTACTCAGTGAAGATGTCAATTGAAGAGTCAGTAGGTACCGGGGCAGAAGGGAATTAATATAGCTGGTAAATATTAGAGAGGTACCTTGGGGAGTCGGATGTCAGGCAGGTTATAATGTGTCATAAATCCAGTGTTTATATTTAGTCCATGATTTTTTATATCCAGTCGTTTGATAACGTGAAGCTCACAGGATTGTCTGTGAACTGTGTTTTGTAAATTCCCTTTGAGTATTAGAACTGAGAGATTAGAGAGTGGTTTACTTATGAGAAATGTGCCCCCGCAGGTAATTGGGTATTCCTGTCTTTGATGGATTCCTGGTATGCATTCATTCTGGTGTGCAGTTGTTGTTTTGTGTCTCCTACATATTTTTCCACCAGGATGTTTGGTGCACTGGATGAGATGTATACCATTTCTGGAGGTACAGCTGTAGTTTCCAGGAATGGTGATGGTTCTGTTGTGGAGTGTAGTAATTGTGGAGGTGGTGGAGATGTGTTGTCAGGTTTTGCATTTCTTGTCATGGTATGATCTGGATCCATTCGGTATATTTTGGGCCATAAGAAGTTTGCTTCCTTAGCCTGACTAAGGATATTTGTACCTGAAAACTTGCAAAGAAGAATTTTTCCAACTATTTGAGTTGGTCTAATAAAAGATATCAGATTTACTCAAAGAACCTTGTCTGCCTGTGTCCTTAGACCAACATGGCTACAACGTATGCCTCTTGAGGGTTCATATTTGGAAGATACTGTTTAATAGATACACAAAGAATGTACATCTTATTATCAAGTCAGACGTTGTGTGGTCCATTCATGTGGGTATAAACCAAAACAAATGACATTTTCTGACAAAATTTATCCACCCATTTCTAGGCTACAGGAATTGCCACCTTACCTTAATATATTTAGCATCTCTTCTGTAACCTCTTGTAAGAGGTTAGGAAGTCAAATTATATGCTCCTATACCACATGGTCATTCTCTCCGTCTGCCTCTCCCTCTCCTCTCATGCACACACATACATACAAAGATTTTTTCCTCTCATAGGTCATAGAGAGCACTGAATGACCTCTACCTTACTGCTCAAAGATGGGGATTGCTATCACGTCTTTAAGATCAGGGAAGAACAGGAACAAGCCCACCATAAAATGTGGACGGATATCCTAAAACATAAAAGGCACAAGACTACTGATAGGGGCATGTATTTATAGAAAACAAGTTTGTGTGGGGCTGTATAAACCTTATCTTGCAAGTGGTAAAATGTGCGTGAACCCTAATTTGAAATTCTGAACTCTGTGCCAGCTCTGAGAGAGCTTTACACCCCCCGTCCCCCTCCCAACCATTCCTGCTGGAAGAGATATCTGCAAGTTATGCCCTCTAAAGATGGGATGTGCTTCACCTAAGTTGATCTGTAAGCAAGGTCTTGAATAGCAGAATCTGTGTGGGGTTTGGTTTATAATTAAAATGCTGACAAAATTTTGACAAAATTATGGCCCCCGGAGATCTGTTTCCCATATAGAATATTGACAGTAGAAGAAACACCCTTACAGGAAATATTAAAAGCTCTTGAAAGTCCCAATTTAATGTACTGTTGCCAAGTTTCACCTAAGTTCTAGTCATGATCCATATAGCAGACTCCATATTAATTTATTTCTGAGCACCGGTAAACTACTGTAAGATGAAAGGAAGAAAAGAATGAAAGATAAACTGTGTTCAGACCTGAGGATATGGTGAACATGTTGAAACTAACGTTCTTTCATCTTCCCACCAAGTTCACATAATAATGTAATTTATGAAGGATATTGGAAAGATATTGAAGGATATGTCCTTTGAAAAATTACTTCAAAATGACATCAGCTAGAGCATAAAGACTGTGTAATGGAAAATGCACCAACAACCTTGGAAGCAAGGACTCTTTTCCCTCCTTGCCAGGGTAGAGTTCACTGTCCTGGGCCAGAGAATCAGCCCTCCTTTACTTTGGTTTCCTTAAGGCCCCATAAGTTTTTCTCTTTTGTCTGCCTAATAAGTTAGCTTCAACAGAAGGGTTCATGTGGGCTTCCCTAGGGTGAAGACAGTATCTTTAGCCTTTGGGTTAGGACACTGTCTTTTGATGTGGGAAATTGGGGTTTAAATCCTTTCATGATCTCCCATGTACTGGGCAACTGCTGTGCTTGCAGAGCAAGAAGTGGGTGGCATAACCACTACCTCTGCCTTGCAGCAGCAATCAATCATTAGTTACGGGTTTTCATCAACAACAGTTTTGGAGGTGAGAGGTGTCTTCTGTCTGTCTTGCCATCATACGCATGTAATTGAAAATTTACCCTGTGTAACCTGTACTTAGAGAACCACCCATGTTGAAATTGGGTCCGTTATACAGTTTTTGGATGTTATCTGTATAGTGTACAGCTAATAGGAGTTTGATGGTCTACACTCAATAATTTAAAAATAATTATTTATCTCAGTTTCATAATTTTGCATAAATTATGCATAGTGATGTTACCTAGATTTTCAGAATAGCCTTTGAGAACTGGATCTCAATTCCTTCAACGTCACCATGAGTTTGATGCCTGTGCCCACTGAGCTCCTTCTTAAATTCCTGGTCTAATCCTCGGCACTTACAACCAGGCCGCACCCCTGGCCACCACTCCCCTCTGGTTGGGAAGGAGGGAAGGAAAAGAGAGGGGAGGATGGTGGCTGCCTGCCACATAGGAAAGGAAAGAGTAGTGACGGCTACAGAGGGCATCAGCAGGGGAGAGAAGGG